AACGATCATAAAGTGATACATGAAGATTTTCAGATTCCAAATGCCATTTATAATGTGAAAATTATAACACGCTAATTTATGGTTTAACGAGAATGACGTGATAATTTATTCTCAGGCGACTCATGACGGCTGTACTGGTTCAAGCTTCGAACAATCGGATGAATTTTATTGTTACAAATATTAGGAAACGTGTATGAACGTGATAGCTGGTTTCATCAAGATTATAAAAGAAAACCGTAAATTCAAAGTGCTACGAGGTCTTGGAAAACGCAACTCGGCAAGCATGCGAGAAATCCTGAGAGATTCTTGCATTATCTCATGGTTGAACTCGAAGGTATGATGATTCATTACCAGAGTACGGATGTTTATGTGCGTACGGGACAAAAGAAAAATTGCTATAGCGTTAGTTACGCTCTTGACTTTCTCACAAAATGTTATAGATTTCCACCTACCTCTAGAAGCCAATATCTTTTGATATATTTCATTGTTACAGACTGCGGACACATGTATGTACAGAGAAAACTTAACAAGATGAGTATAATGTATATAAGATGTTCAAAGTAGAGCACTCGTTACAACGTTTATAGGATGAGACAAATCCCTACATTCGTAGGTTCCGATTCTTCTTTCAATGATGATATTTAATATCGGCATTCCGCTCATCGGCATTCGTCCGACTTTGACAACCAAATCTACTTACGTGGCGCCATACCTATATTTTTCATTCACCAGCGATATAAAACTCTTAAATTCCTGTAAATCTCATAAAATTGTAGCATCTACATGGAAGAAGAAATACGAAAAATAACGAAAATAATATCGAGCAAATTCTTGAAATTCCTTTGCATGTAAATGCGATGTGAATCCGATAGATTCAATGATCTAAGTTGACTAAAAAAGAAACTATAGAGATTGTAGATCAGATGCTACGTGAACGAAAATAACGATGTTACTACATTTCCTTTGATTTCTACAGATCTTGCAGAGATACATTTCCTTTGATTCTCACCGACAATTCACGAGAGCCGACGAGAAGCATCGCTAACGCGGTCCGAACAATTCTCGCTTGTTAATTGTGTCCTTATCACTCGAGATGAACGCATGAAAATGATGGAGCGCTTCGTTGCGTAACCATAATAATTGACGATGCACGCGTGCGATAGCGCACGTCGTACACGCGCATTGTTTTACACGGCTGGATATCAGAGACTCGTAAGCGAGAGCATAATAAGTTATTGCGGAGCAACGACTCGACTAAAGTGGAAAGTTCTTGAGAGCCGGGTAAAGTCGACGCGCGCGGTGTTGTAACCAGCCACTGGTGTGTACCTACGCGAGTCTACTCGAATTTCGGGAGTTCAGCTTGAGAGCACCGCGTGATTAATAGCGCAACTTAACGCTGCACTCGCTATAACGTGTGATTAATGCGCGTGAACACGATTAATCCGACTACTCGACAGAACCGTGTCTCTAGAGACTTTTCCATTGTTTTCTTCCAAAATGATATGACTACGATATATAAGAGTATATAATAAGAACGTTTATTATCAAATAGTAAATCTATGAATAAAGCAGTTATGACAAGTCCATACGTTTGCGAGAAATTTGAAGATGAAAAAATAAAATATATAAAAACATACGAAAACTACAATATGATCTCCTTTCTATGGAAGAGCAATTTTTAAATTCGATAGTCGTCAATCAATTCCGTGTCGAAACTATCTCCTCGTTTGATTTTCCGACGAAACGTTCCTGTCACTTTTTTCCACACAGATCAAGTTAAACCATCGGAACAACTAAACTAGTGTTGTTTGTGTCTTACAAAATCGTGGATTTGTCTCCCATTTCCAAAAATGTCTGCACCTTCGAATCTATCAGATTATTCCCTTTTTCAATTACATTTGAAATATTAAAATATCTTCAGGACTTGTTCTCAAGTTACAAACGAGAGCTTAAATTTGTCATATTTTTGGCGAAAGAAAAAGGTCGAGAGAGTGTTAGAAGAATGTCTCGAATAAGAACAAAAGCGAGAGTAGGACTTCAGCGGGACAGAGTTGGAGAGATTCCGGGTAGATTTAAATTATGATTACATTATTTCTGCTTTATCATTAGCATTTCATTCCAAATCCCTCGAGTAAGAGTTGTGTAATCCAAAATTCCTACATTATCCCCGCTATTTAAACGAACGAAGGTTTCTCTCTTTATTTCTCCAGTAAGAGAAAATCATCGAATTAGCTTCACGCACGCGGGAGCCTTTACAAAGCCAGTGAAATGTTTTACGAGGATTTTAACACGATAATATACAAGTTTGAAAACACAGGAAGCAATCAGTCTTCGGCGGCTCTCGAAGAAATCATCCACGGAAAAGAGGTTCGAGAGTGATTACTCATGAAAGATCGCGATGATTAATGATAACTGATGAAGATGATCGAAGAAGCGCAAGAAGGCCAGGCTACGAGTGGAAGATTTCGAACGTGGCACAACAAGAAGGATAGATCTTTCCTGTCTGGTGTCTGGCTGTTGGAAGTTGATTGAGATTGTGCAGCAAGCTGATGTGTACAATGAAAGCCGTGCTGTTGTCCAGCGAGTGTGTTCAAGAGATTGTACCCTTATTAAGTTTCTTCGATCCACTTACATCGTCAATTTTTTATACTCGTCCATTATTAAGATTAATTTACAGAAATCCGCGCCGCACAATCTACTTAAACTATAAAGACCTTTATTTCCGATCTGCTACTCGATCAGAATGAATCACGTCACGTAGTTGCGCTTGATTTATGAAACACTTTTCCTCGGATTCTGCCAAACTTTTACGCGATACCACACGATACGCCCGGTTAAAATTGAACGATGAATTTTTCGCGTGTCCCGATACAACTTCCTTGGTCTCAGAAAATTTTTGACATAAAACAAAACCAAAGGTAAGAGGAAACGTTACTTGGGAATAAAATAAAGGAAGTAAAACGAGGGAAAGAGCACTTGGTCCTCTTGCACGATAATCTATGAACTAATAGCATTGATAACAACGACAAGTAACAATTTGTAGATCGCACACTTCTCTTTCGTCATACGATAATTTGTCGTCCAACAGGATAATTAAATTCTGATCCTCAAGAGATGCATCTTACTTTCATGCAAATTATTGATACTGGTAATCTGACACTTGTAACATTTCGTTGATAATAGTAGTTGAATGCTGCAGGAGACAGGCTTATTATTAACAAATGAATATCATTAAATCGACAAAGTGGAAATGTATAGACCGCTATCGCGGTTGTATAATTCATCATGGAATAGGATAACCACGGATATAAATTGTAATTTATAAAATTCGCTCTGGCAAATAGGATTTATCGTTACTCTTAGGCGAGTGTATTCATCAAATAGAACGTATTCGGCTGGCTCGTAATTTCTCCAATGTATTTCTAAAATTTATCCTTACTATTATGCAAACACACTTATTAATGTCGACAACGTGTAATTTCGAAAGTTTCGCTAATAATACTAGTGCAATCGTAAAAGACACCCTTAATATCGATAAATTTTGAGCTGATTCAACGCGGGCTAGTCGAATGCGAATTTTTACGAAGGAAAAAGAAGCTTTGAAACATAGTTATCAGCCGAATTAACGTCGCGGCTCCTATAAATTAAACATAGACGTGGATTAAAGAGGATGTAAATGCACGCGGATCCACGGCCCGGCTCCTAAGCCCGTCACGTCCGGAGAACCGGTTAGATCATACCCCGTTCCTCGTGAATCTTCTCTCTCTGTCTGGTTGCTCTCTTTTCAGTTTTCGCACGCGGTTGAAGTATGCCTCGCCATTATCATCGATGTTGCAGTTCAATTTTGCCTTGGCTGAAAGTGAGGGCAAGTCTGTCCGGCGTAAGTGAGAGGGCTACCCTGTGGTTAGGGTGTGACGAACGAGTGTACGTGTCAGCACTGCAAACCACCCTCATTTAATTTGCTGAGAGCCGCTGTATATCACCCACGCGCTCTCCTCCTCCGCACCTCAGTTTCCTACCGGGATCCAAGGCGGAAAACTTGCTGCCGACCGTCCAGTATCTCTCTTTGCTGTTTGATCACAATAAAGACTACCGTTTTCCCGCCAGCAGAGGTCAGCGAGAGATCGATCTGACCTAATCGCAACACGATCCAGGTTCGTAGGCTTCTTTCTATTACCAGCTTACGAGTCTTTCTCCTCCTCCTTTCTTTTTCGCGCAGACGGTGTTTGCAATGAGCGACGAATCGATGAATACCGATTATATTGGGTTGGCGACTAAGTGATTGCAGATTTTTTCATTAGGTGATATTGACAAAATCCACAATCACTTAGTTACCAACACAATATATTAGGTTGTCCGAAAAGTTTCTTTCATTTTATAAGGAAATAATAGATGCACAATGTTTTTTGTTCTATATTAGTTTATTGAATTATTCACAAATATGATAATAGAAATATAACGAAATGGATCATACCTAATTCAATAAAATAATATAAAACAGAAATTTTTGCTCATCTATTATCACCTTATGAAACGAAAGAAACTTCTCGGACAACCTAATATTAATCGACAGGAATAAATCGTCCAGATGAATAACATGAGTATGCATTTTCGTTTTTCTGTCGCAAGCATCGACGTAGGGGAGTTAGATCTAATAATAAGAGACCGTTCTGACAGGTTTTTCGTAGTTCGTAACGGATCACGATTCTTTCTCTTTTCTTTTTTTGTGGAGAGATAAGATAGGTTTGCATGGATCGGCGAATATTAATCGTATCGAAAAGAACCACCACTCTTTCCAAGTTTATGAGGACTATCGGGATCGATGGGACATAACTGTGAGATGATCCGTAGATTTCTTTTTGCTAGCTGTTTATTCGACCAATCGCGGAGAGACGCAATCTCGAGGAAGCGCGTCAATGGGAGTCGTAAATTCCCGTTACGATTTGACAATCGACGCCACGAACTGATCGATCCCCTATTTCGATTAATATAACACTTGATTAACAGTTCAAAGATATTATATAATTCCAACAACTTTGTAGAAAAGATAGTTACGCTGGTGCGTAAGGTATAAATTAAGTAGGTGAATGATTGAAGGGTGAAAACCCGATAAAGAGATGTTGACTGTTCAAAGATATTATATAATTCTAACAACTTTGTAGAAAAGATAGTTACGCTGGTGCGTAAGGTATAAATTAAGTAGGTGAATGATTGAAGGGTGAAAACTCAGTAAAGAGATGTTGACTGTTCTAAAGATGATGAACCAGTTCAGAGATGTTGACTGACCTGTAGTCGTAGATCCAGTGAAGTCCGATGACGATGCTGTTGCAAAGGAAAACTCTTACTCGGTGGTGGTCGCTTGCGGGTGGAATCCCGGGAAACATAGGAAAACCCGTTTCCCCAATTTTTTGCCTGTTGGAGCAATAACCGTAAGGAACTTCTTGACTCGAAGATGTTTTATGCCAATTGACGGCCTTAACGGTAAATCAAAAGCTTGGTTTTATGACAGTTCCTCAGGATTATTGCGGTCCGCTTAATTCTATGTGTACAGCTGGTGGCCGCCTCAAACATAAAGAGTCACCGGACGAATCTATTCGTTCGAATCTTACGAAAGACCTGTTAGAACGAACGAAAGGTTGTTGAATAGTAATTTGATGTTCTCCTTTGTTTTTTATTTTGTGTAAGAAGCGTTAAAATGACTAGAAAGTTAGAAAGTTAAGTGAATATTAATGATATCGGAAGAAACGAATCATTCTGGCACTTGGCTATTTATTGTCATCGGACGTTTAGATAGCTCTGTTATTCACACACACACACGTGCACATACACTGCTGAGTATTCTGACTTGCTGTTTTACGACATCGTTCCCGTGGGGCTTAAATGACTTAAGAAACGAGGTAAACATAATGCAAGCCTGCCGCATTAGCGTTATTCATTTTATGATTCATTCATAGAAGACATTTGTAACATTTCACTGTATCATACACAGGGTGTTAGATTTTATTATTACCTTGTATTCTAATCTGTTGTTTATCCTGAACAGGAAAAAATGCTTTTACAGGGAATTCTTTTCGAAAATCTTCTCAATTCATCACACTTGTTGAAACAAGAGCGCGTCTGAGGAATAAAACACGTTATTCTTCGATAAGCAATAAATAAATAAAACCAAATAAAACGTATATACATTGAAAATGGATGAAAAGTTGGAATCAAATTTTCTCGAATAAAATCGATATTATTGTTATTATGACTTAATATTATTTTTGTTAGGACTTAATAATCCTCTGTATTGTATTATCATCGTTTTACAAGTTTATCCTATGTACCTATCGAATAACTTGTTTCTACATAACGTTTAACACAGATCGGGTAATCGCGATGCTCCTCTGTGTAATTCCAGCGGAATGGTGGCCGCGACGTTCGAAGCGCGAGGAAAAATGGAGCAACCGGGTAACATCTGATAGAAATGTTTCCCGCGGCAAATTTCATTTCGTCGAATATCATTTAGTGTGAAAATCGCAAACTCAGAATTAAATTTACGCCGGTATTCTCTCCTCGAAATATCGTCTACTCAACGCGTGCTAAAATCAAGAACCGTGTCACATATACAACCTCATAGGATGCGTTTATCCACGACATGTTAACGTCGATACGTTAACACCAAGGAACTGGCGTTAACTCTTAGGTTGGCAACTAAGTGATTGCGGATTTTGTCAATACCACCTAATGACAAAATCCGCAATCACATAGTTTCCAACCCAATATTTCGATATATACAAACCATTCTTTCTTACCAAAATTATGGTAGGCTTCTAGAGAAAAATGAAAGTCTGTTTGTTTATCGAAACACGAACAAAATTCAAACACAAGTGAGATAAAAATTTTAGAATTGCAATAGGATTAAGACAATCTTCTCCGAAGTAAAATTACGTATGAAGAAAATGTAACCGCATATGTTCAACTTATCTTTTCACATAGAATCACTGCCTCATCAGTTGTATCAGTTTTCCATTCCACAACTTCCTATACAACCACTTCATCCAGATTATACAGGGTAGCGGCTGTGTTCGGTTTAAATGTGTTTGCCACTGGATAGCAACAGAAAGGGTTACCCAGAATGTAACGAAAGGCAGATCTTTGAAATTGGATCAGCCAACACTACGAAATAAATGAAATAGCATGAATGAATCAGCTCGTAACTAATTAAACGACATACGTATCACCTTTCGACGTTATTTCGGTATATTTCGGACTTTTCGAAATCGGATAATTAATCTGGACTTACTCGGCGGGTCTACGAATAATTTTTGCTGGAAATTACAGCGGATGTTAAGCCCGCACGACCATTCTAATTAAATTTGCGGTGCCGTTTATCAATCTGAATGGAGTACGCGCGCGAGTGCGTGCCGTGCATTTCGCCCGTGTATCGCGATGTCCGTGCACGATTTCGAAAATTTCCATCGTCGCGTCGTTACTGTATTTTATAACGAGACCCGTTCCCGTCGTGTTCATTAAACGATAACAATGGTCGGTGTGTTAAAATATGACGACATAACTGGTGAAAAATTGAGGGAAAAATCGAATGGAAAGGTCGAATCATACATATATCAGATTTACAATGTTTTACTGTCCAACTTCCCTCGCACAATAATTTGCCAATTAGTGATATTAGCAAATTGGGAGATTTCGTTTCCACCCTTTGCTCTATCGCTACGATTTCCGTATTAATCACATCGTTCGCTATAATTTCATTTTCTCTGGATCTTTAAAAAACAGTTCCAATATCTAAATAGCATCTATGGAAAACGACCAAGAATTACGTTAAACGGAAAGATTCGTTATTACCAACACTGATTGCCAGTGAATTTAAACACGCTGAGAAAAAGAAGCAGCATAATTCTTAAACGATTTTTTCCATTTACATAAATCGTCAGAAAAGCGGAACTGACTCTTCATACCAATTCCAGTCGCTTTGTTAGCTGCACACAAGCTTTAAATATTTTTAACGATCATAGAAATCGAGGAAAGATAAGAAGAAACAGACGAAGGAAAATAAAGCATTAAAAACGAAAAAGCGGAACGTTCGAAGGTGGTAGAAAACGCGACTCACGAACAGCAATTTCGCGCACAAAAACCTAAAACTGAATGGCGACCGTGGTGTTCGTGTCTTAACAGCTCGCGCTTTCGGTCGGTCAACTTAAAACTGATAGCTTCATATCCTGGGCGTATGGAGGGCAGGAACGCGTGAGAGGGCTGCTACTTTAAACGTGCCACGCTCGATATTAATGCCCGTTTCCACGAGTGCAACGTTAACCAACGGCGGGATCGCCATAATTTTGCGAAATTGGTTGCCCGCGGGACGTTTATAATGCGAACAGGCCACGTAACCCGAGACCGTGTATCTTTCGGAGCGTCGCGATAAAGTTATAACGATTAAAAAAGGTGACGACTTGATCCCTGCAACGATCGTGCAACCAGTAAACTGGTGTATGCACAGGCAATTACGAAACTTTAAAATCGCCAGCTCTGTCTCGCCGCTCGCATGCGAATTCGCGTGAATTCGATTCCGCACGTAACACGTGCGATCGTGTCAAGTTTATTTTTTCCGTAGGTAAAAATTTGTTGGTTTCTTGGAAGATTTATATCGCTGGGACAAAATGGAAATCGCGTGGGGTGTGTAGGGTCAACGAATACTTCGTAACTTTCTCGATATACCAGGCATTCGGTGATTTACCAACTAGCAACGTCAACGAATTGACGTGTTGCAAATTGTAGATTATGAACATTTTCGTTCGATTCTTCGTCTTTACAATGTATGCGTTTAGTGGTTGTTTTTGTAAGGATACGTTTTGAATATGATTAAAGGAATTGGAAATTTCGTTGCTCTTATTTAAAACGTTGTTCCATATTGTCGCAAATTACCGGTTTACGAAACGATGTTCAAAACCACAAAAATGTGGTTTGGATGTCAAAAACACAGCGAAACCCGTTCGGGAAAATTGCACGCGTCTTTCGTCCCATTCTAAAACAATAGTTTTCGAAAAACTGAAAAGCACAATTGAAATGACACAGCTGTTTCTCGGATCTGGGTTAAGACCTGAAAACGTATTCACAAATCCCAAGGACGTGAGTTCTAATTAGTTTTTCGTAGAAAATTCTAGCGACAAAAAAAGGAAGTAAAATCACGCCCGACAAAGAATAATATACCACGATGAAAATAGAACATACACCGCGTAATCACGTACTCGCAACCCTTTATCAAGCAATTCTCCATTATATCTCTATTTACAGATTTTCATCGAAATAAAGTGCCATAATACAACAGAAGCACCTCATTGCTATAATGTTCTCCCAGTTTCCCTCGTCTATCTTCGTTTTTTCAATTTAATTATGCAAAAGGCAAAACCTGCACAAAGCCACGTGTCGTACTTATTTCCGTAACCAATTCTTTTTGCATTACTCATAGAGTCGATAGAAGGCGAACCAAAAATATCGAAGTCGATGGTCGAGCGATTTTATTTTACATAGTATTTGATAATCCGTAACAATATACTAAAGATGAGTCATAGTATGCAAGTTTGATTATTCTACGCAGAGTTGATGATCGACTTTTGAAACGTTGAAGCTCAAGTGATTGAAATAACATTAGCTTACTGTATATAGTTTCGTACGGCTTTTTCCTATACACTAGCTCGACAAACACGAAGCTATCAGTGTTAACAATCGACCGAGTTTGCACGATAGCGGCAACGGGTATCTGACGGAGTTGCTGAATTTCCACAAGGACGAAAAAGCCAGCCGTACGTGTCCTTTTATGAAAACCGATATACTCCCGGGAGTCGATATACCCATTCGCGACAGCATCTCTGCTCATAATTTCGTACGTAATATCACGAGTACGGCCGCGTCGCTGAATTTCCAAACTTCAGAAACTCTCTGCACCGAACTTCGCTCCCCCTGTGTGCTCGCCAGTCTCGCAGTTACTTTCTGTCTCCGTTCGACGTTTGGCCAGAGAAACGCGTTAGAAAGCATCCCCGCGCGCGCGCCCAGTGTTTTTAAAAGTTTCGAACCTCGGACCGTTTTCGATAAAACTTGGACAAGTTGGCTCGCGCGCGTGTTTCGCGCTCGAAAAATTCGTAAGCGAATAAAATTTCGCTTCGTTTCAAGCACGACGAACCGTCGCGAATTTCATTATCCACCCGCTCCACCACTCGCTCCACTGTTTTACCCTTTTGCGCGCGCTATCATCTACCCTCTCGCCTTCTATTTTTTCTCGTTTCTTGGTAAAAGCGCACACAAGCTTTTTCTAAACAAGTGGATTTCGTTGCAGAAATCTTCGACCGTTT